CGAACGAAAAGTATCGAGTATGTACTTGTATTTACTCGTACCGTTTCATCCCTATCAGTACCTTGAAAAGAAATATTCCTAACAAAAATTTTGATCGGGATACTCCTAAAAACTGCATTTACTTTGCGATATGGCTCATATTTAGAACATATGTATGTCAGATAATTGAAACTAAATATTTCGACTAAAAATTTCAAGGTTCTTGGTGCACGTGATGCAGTGCCATAGCTCAAGACCGACAGTATGTGGCGAAGAGTCACACCCTGCGCGAGGAGCCCCTGCTTTTAACTGAATATGGCGGATCTAGAGAGAAAAACTCGATAAAATCCGTGTGTTAATCGTACCGTAAAGGGTACCCTAAAATACTTTGGTCCTTAGACAAATTACAGGCTATTCAGGCGACCATCCTGCAAGAGGTGAGACGACAGCGGAAGGGCTACATGCAGCCCAGGTTTAGCGGTTGTACCTTCTGCCCGGTATGGATGTAAATTGGCTGCGGAGATGCTGAAACGCTGGAGTGGCTGCGCAAGGTATCCCCAACCCTGAAACCCTGGAAGGGCGCGGAAATTGTGGCAATGAATTCCACTGATGTGCCCAAATCCAGTGTCTATGTTGGGTACTTTCCGGAGCCATAAATCACTCCAGTGGACAGTATCCCTCATCTTATGCAGGAGTTCAAAACTGAACTCTTGGATGTCGCATTCATCCAAGAACCGTGGGTTTTCGGCGAGGCTATTGAAGGCCTAAACGACTGTGATGATAAGATAATTTACGACACCACACACTGCAGGCCCTGAGCGGTCATATTATTACGTAATAAAATGACTTTTGTTCCCATTTCAGAGTTGACACAACAGGATTTAACTGCTGTACGGAATAAAGTGCCCACTCAAATGGGAGAACAAAAGGTCGTTTTCGCTTCAGCTTACCTCCCAGGCAACAGCTGCGAGATTCCTACAAGGAAAGTAATAGCCCTAGAGGAGTACTGCAGAAGGAGAAAGCTGAAATTAGTAATGAGCTGCGACGCCAACGCCCATCACTGTAAATGGGGTAGCTCCGACACCAATTCTAGAGGTGAGTCATTTCTTAAATTTATCACTAAAAACAATTTATTTATTCTTAACCGGGGTAATGAGTTGACCTTTGTTAATGCTATAAGAGGAGAGGTTCTAAATTTGACAATTTCCTCAACTAGCTTGTCAACCCTTATCTCAAACTCGCATGCCTCAAATTATGTATATATGTCGGACCACCAACATATTAGATTCGATATATAAGCCCAAAGGAGGATAGTTCCGTAGGCAGAAGTGAAAAACTTTTGACTGCCATTCACCTAGGAGTGGTCAGAAATGATTCTTGTGCGTATGGTTCAAATCGTAGCTCACAACGTTCAGATATTTATATCCACGTAGCCTCTGGGTAGCAACCAAATACCCGTTTGGGAGCGAGCTAAAGTGAGAAGGCGTAAAACTTCGCGCGCGCTGGGTTTGGGCCCCGCCACCTTACAACCTGTAGAAAACAGACCTGTTAAGTAATGATTACTAATTGTAATGAGTAGTAATTTAAATGCTTTGGGTTTAATGTAATGTAATCCATTATTTTCAAGTACAATTACCTTTTATCAATTACTACTCGAGTACAAGTACTTGTAATTGAATAGTACTTGGAATTACCCTCAATTACCAAAAGTAATTGAAAGGAGTTGAAAGTAGTTGAAAAAGTAGTTGAAGTACTTTTTCCAATTACTTTCAAGTACTTGATACCATTTTTATATATTTCTAATATTTTTGTATTTTTATTTATTTAATTTCATTTTACATATGGGCATTTTCCATGGTGGCGCACGTGACAGTCGTACGATTTCAATGAGATACAAACAAGGAAAAACATGTGTTTTCTTTTATTTTTTTTTGGGCTCTTGTATAGCACCTAATTAGCTCTATATTTGACCGAAAAACGAAAACAATCGAAACGCATGGTCCTTAAATATACGCAATTAAAGAGAGGTACGTTGCGTGACAAAAAATGGAAGTTGATTTTTTCTTTTCTTACAAAATCGCAAAACTCTGCGAATTGTGGATGGCTATTTTCATGAAACTTGTTTTAATATGATTTGGAGTAATTCTAGTTGTATTTAGAGTTTTTTGAATTAATGCAACTTGTTTCAATTTTCTTTTGCAACCCCAAGTGTGAAACGTCACGTGAAGTGGCGTCACGTGACATAAATTTCCATCGTTATATTTTTGTTAATATTGCTTTTCATTGAATTTTTAACGTAAATAAACATGCATTTTATGTCGAATATACTTTATATTTTGACTTCAGCGCCAATTCAGGGTAATTTTTTTGGAAATCTATTATTTATTATGTTTCATACGCCAAATTCGAACCAAATCGGACCATAAATACGGGTTTTCGAAATAACTCGACCTTGGCGCCATCTAGAAAAACCATTTTATGCAAAAATGTTTCTACTTACATAGCCAGTATATATTTAAAAAAGCAGACAAATCGGCCCATAAATACGTAAGATATATGACTTTTATTTTTTTTGTCGCGGTAGACCTTCCGATGGAAACACCCATATATAAATATATTTAAATTATACTGCGCATCTTATTTGAGAAAAAAACAAATGTATGTCTCATTATATATGTGAATCAACTTCATTTTTCATAAACTATTGCAAATGAATTGAAACTTATCAATGTAATTTATTTCAATAGTAGTAATAAAAGATAACAAAAAACAAAGCTTCTCAATTTCAATATGCTTTTTGAGAGAAAAGAAATCGCGTAAAACAATAATGCGCATATACTTCTTTCCCTGAGGTATGAAAACATATTTTAATTTATTTTATTTTATTTTTTATTAACAAATCTTAATAACAATATTGAGAGTTGGCCTTCATAATGACCAACTTCTCAAATGAGAAGTCAGCCATGGACTGTCTTCTGGGGCTGTTGATAATACCCGCAAAAGAAAACAGCCTTTCAACAGGCGCGGATGAAGGCAAAGGGGTGTTAAATTTTATATACGCCTCCGTCAGATAGCAATATTTGTTTAAGGAGTCTTCGGCGGGGGAATCATCGTTCAGATAGCTGTAATATTGGTTCGATATTGCAGCTGTGATATCTGCCGTTGACTCTAACCGAGCTGAGGAAGTAACGTTATCTTCATCTGTAAAGAAATGTACAAAAAAAATTAGAGAAAGGACTTGGAATTTTTGAATTCTTTATACCGCCGGAGTTGTAGTCAAATAACGCATCATAATCGTTTCGTTTTAATTTATTTTCAAAACTAAATGAAAGATTATCCTTATTAAGAGACTCAGTAACGCTCTGAATGACGATCCGGTTCACTCGCTCGACGGTCATGGCCGGATTTGTGCGTTGTAGTACTTTGATCCATTTTGTTTTGATACCTGGAGTCAAAACCGCTGCGGCTACTGCAATGTTCGCTTCTGGTGCTAGAACAAAATATGGCTCAAACCTTCCCCTCAATTTTTTTTC